GCAAAAGATGTACCGCAGCAGCACGATATTCGGAGTAATCCAATTTTCATTCATGAATACGAACGAAATATTTCATGCAAACTTTACTCCAGTGTAAACGGTTGACAGAATGACGTAAACCAATGATTAATAAATCGATGAAGTTCATGTAATTAATTCGCAATTATCGTATGTTTTGTTTTGACATGATTAAAGACATTATAAACATTTCTTTTTCAACTTTTACAACTTTTCTAATAAATATATTTATATTTTTATAAATTGAAGATCATGATTTATTATCTACTTTTATTTTACCGATAATTTATTTACCGATTTTTATTTACCGAAAATTTTATAAAGATTCATCGTTAAAATAAATATTAGATGATATAATAAACAAAAAAAACAATGCACTAGTTGCATATTTATTATTACTATAGCTTTTAAATATATATTATAAATTTAATCGTTTTAATTGCATTAGTTCTGTTGTCCGTGTTCGTATTTATGTGTTACCGCAGAAATTTAAGCTCAATTGACGATCTGTTTGGATTCTACCACAGCGCACAGCGTTACAACTCGAAAGGAATTTATCAAATTGAAATTTTTTTCTTTCTCGTAATCTTTATCATAATATTCTATAAAAAAGAAGTAAAAAATAGTGCAAACGGAAAAAACAGTACGATTGTATTGTTTGTCCCTTTTTAAGTGTATTTCTACAAATACCCGTGACATAAATGATTAAATGTATTATATAAATATGTCACGTGAATCGATTGCTCAAAAAGTTATTGCAACTTAAGAAATAAAACTCAAAGTATTTTTTCTATTTTCCTAGAGAGAATAAATCGCGAGTTTGTTTCCGTTCCTAACGAAAGTAGAACGCAAATAATCACACCATGCGGTATCGAGTAAGTATCAACTTGTGCGTTGGACGAGTACGTCAGTTTGCTTGGTTTAGTGCAAAAACATCTAACCACCGTTCCGACTCGTTTCTCGCACCTTTCTCGCACCTGCAATCAATCTTATTACTATTTCCTCTGGGATTTCTGTCCACGTCGCTAGAGAGTTAAGGATGACCTTTGCGTTATATCCCATTTTGAAGCTCGCTACGCACAGTACAAGTATTATGTTGAAACGCTAACGCAGTCTAATTTTATTTTTCAAATAGATTTGAGAGAAATCAATTACAACATAACACGCAATTATTAAAAAAAAATTCTTCTTACACGCAGATAAAGAAGTTAAATAAACAGGCATGTAAGTGCTCTTTCCAAAAATTAATCATTTTTAACACCTTTTTATTTTTCTAACAATATTAATAAAAAGTTTATATGATATGATTATTGTTTACTGATTATTTAAAAAAATATATATTTCTACGTGTATCAGAATAGAAATTATAATAAATATTATAGTAGATATTATAATAAATTAAAGTCAGTGAAGATTATCCGGATTAATGTAATTGAAACTACTGCTATGTACTTCATGCATAAAGCACTTCAAAAATAAATAAAGCTTATTTTTAGTATGCTAATGACAGTGTAATAAATGACAATCAAAATAAAAATTAATGCATTCTGAATTATTAAATATACCTTTTAAAAATAATTATAATTAATTAATAATTAATCATAATAGACTTTATTAATAAATCAATAGATTTCATAATATTTATGATAATCAAAGAATATAAAAAATCATTAAAATATTTTTTAATGCATCAATCCAATTCAGATTATTGTTAATAAAAATAAATTACAATTAAAATATTCTATGCTATTATTTATAATATATATTATAATTAAAATAAATATAGGAAATTATCCGGATTAGTGCAATTATTATTATGTAAATACAATATATTATTATTCCACGTTGAACTAACGTTACAGTCAACACTAATTCTATAATTAAAGGGGCCTATTGTTATATTGTATTGTATGAAACCTGTATTATGTTTAGCAATGTGCATGATAAATTAAGTTATTTTTGGTAACTGTATATATATACATAATGCTAGATATATATACTAGATATGCGACATATTAGATTGGGATAATGTGCGTTATGACGTTGCAAACAGCATTGTAGGAGCCAACAATAATATATATGATATATTAATAGCCACAGCTAATACTATTGTTAACCTTTAATACTCTGGAACAAGATTATAAATGACAATGGGAAGTAAATTCGCGGAGATTCTTCATGAAGATTAACATTTACTTCCTAAGGAAATAGAGTGCTCTACATTTATTATGTTTGCAACTACAAATAGTACAATCTGCTTGACATTTTTTTCAACACTAACATTTTATATTCTTTCTCTTCATTCTAATTTAGCAAACTAATATTGCCACATAATTGTAAATAATTTTCCTATTACAACGTAACTATAAATATATTTTAACAAAAAATAAGTTCTATCTTAAAAATCAAATTTTGCATATAAAGATAATAAATCGTTCTTAAAGAGTTTGATTAAAGCGGCGCTGGCGAGCGAATAAATTTTGGCAAGGAAAGAAGAAACGAAGAAATAGTTAGAAATATCGTGCACCCTATCTGAGAAGGACTTAAGCTTTTCGACACTTTGAGGGCGAAAGAAATGTCGTTTCCGAGGCTATAGCTTTCCGATCGGAAAGCTTTCACATTGTGATTGGACGAGGCTGTTATCACTCGTTTTGTTTCGCGATGATGAGGGACTGATTTCAAACGAGATCCATGATAAGGCATATGCGATAGTGTCATCGGAAACTTGCCAGTCGGAAGCCAGCATTTCCAATCGGAAACGTAGAGGTTACATGATAGCGCAATTCAATCAGAATAGATAGATAATCACCCCTTAAGAAACGCTATAGGATTATATTGATTGTTATTTGAAACTTCGAGCTTTGCATATACGTAAATATAAACTTAGCAAACGTTTATATAATCGTAAATTTACATGTAAATTTGATAAACATCTATTATATATTACACTTTTATCTTTTTACAGTACTAAACAAAATGAATGAAAGTGATTAATTATTTTTCATAATAAATTGTATAGAATTAGATACTCAGCAGTAAAAAGGTTAATTATATTATCCTATTTGATTTGTTTAAATTAGATTTTATCTAATATTAATTTCCGATACACATTAGAAATATTTAGTTATTTGAATCAAATGGTTATTTAAATCAACACATATTATTCTCATCAACTCTATGAAGTTTTCTCATATCACTAGAGGAAATAAATCAATAGCGTACGGATTTTATATTTAGTTTAATTTCACGTCTTTGTCCATTTGCCAAATTTTCTGTTTAACAGCATGGTTAAATTTGTAACCCATTCCCCATTTGATATTTTTCGTAAAACGAAAAGGAAAACATTCAAGAATTATTCAAATTTACATTTAATTACGTAAAATCATACATTTACATAATAACATGCGTATCGTTTTATATTTGCTGCATAATGAAATAAAAGTAACAATAACAATTATCTTTTTCAGTGTAGCCAAGTTTGGCAAATCGGACGGTTATACTTCAAACGCTTTAAAGTTACGAATAAATCCTGAGGGTGGTGAATTCGACAGTAAAAGTATTAATACTCTGGAAGCACAAAGAAATGAAGAGTTTCACAAGAGCAAATTAAAGGTTATTCTGTTCGCTGCAATTTGTCCGTAATTTTCTTTCTAGTATATCACTTTATTGTAACTCTAAAGCTCTTTAATAACGATTCGCTTTAATAGCCGTGAAAGCTCTCGCGAAAAGAACAAGGATAGATTCAAGATCCAGTCGAGACAATCTTTTGCAGGTCAATTTTTAATTAATTTATTATCTTCCAAGCATTCGTGATAAAATTTTTAATATTACATTATGTTACTTTTTATTGTCATCGAACTTCATGATTTTATTAGATCTACATTAAAATATGTCTATCGTTTAAGAGAAATACGTTTGTCAACGATAAAATAAATTTGGAACAAATATTAAAATATTAAAATTCTTTATTTTTTATATTTTGTTAATCTACATTTTTTTATTTTTAAAATGTTTTAACATTGTTGACGAATGATTTAAGAATTTTAATCTGTTACATTATTTGCAACATTTGTGAAATAAATTAACAATATTAAAAATGTATTTCATTTATATTTTATTATACTATTCATTATCTGATATATGTAATGTAAATCCTGCTGCATATATCAGGATATTTATTTCAATGATGGGAAAAATTATTGCAAATAGTGAATTTTACACAGGTTGCGGGTAATAGTTCACCATCACTTGAAAATACATTGACGAGCTTAAAACTTTTAACGACAGCTGAGCAATTGAAAAGCTGCCGAGAAACTCAATAAATAGAATTCCTTCAACACAATGTCGTCGTATTGCGATTTCTACGGAGTGTCAGCGCACTCTGCGCACAATGAAAGGCTTTTAAACTTTCGGGTACAATGACGCTCAGAATGCTTTCCAAAATTCTGAAGATGAAAAAAGTTTACATAGCCTACCGGCCGAGAGAGCTTACTCTATCATAATGAAAAATAAACAAACCTTTCTCATTCTGTATTTCGGTAATCGCATTATTACATAAAAGAGGGTAACCAAAAAAAATGTCTTAGTTACAGAATATTTTCTTAACCATTAATTAAGCTAATGAAGAATAAAAAGCAGCACTCAGAAAGTTCTAATAGCAACAAATATCATTTTAAGAATTAATTTTTATTACTGCCAACTTAAAAACTTTTCATTTTTTATATTAAAAACAATTTATAGTCTCACGTATAATTTATATTAAAATCTATTTAAGCCAAAATTAAATAAAAATGTGATTTTTTTACTTAAGTTACTTAATTTTATTTAATTTTCATTAAATATTATTATAAATAAATTATAATCAAATGCAACTTTTTTTAGATTTATGAGTAATTGAAAATATGTTTGGTAGATTAGAAATATTCCGTCCAATCAAATTAAAAAAATAATACTATTTGTTTACTTATCTTGTGTTAAATAATCTACGATGTATATATGTATGTACAGATTAGAACGAGTGAATACTGGAGAAATGTGCTTCGTAATCAATGGCTGTTAGTATTCCAAGGAATTGTAATAGTGATCGCAATTCTCACTATGGGAACGTGGATAGGATACTTGTGTAAAGAAGACATCGTCAATGATAATCCTATTACACTGTGGCGTTCAATTGTTGAGCGAATACAAGAAACTATCATTGATACAGGAACGGAATTACGGTTAGAATTATGATTAAGTTTAAATACAGTTTTTATTTTATATATTTAAATGAAAATACAAAATTATTCAATTTTATCTATCAGAAATCATGATAACAAATAAATCAATATAGTTTGAAATTAAATTAAATTTTATATCATTACAGACCGTGTTATCGCACCAAAGCGGATACGCAACAAAAGAGAAGAGCGAGCCTTTTAAAACGAAAACGTACGAGTGGATAATTGACACTCTGTATAAGAATAAAAAAGATTAAATAAAAATTCTTAAAAATATTCAAATATCCTATATTTTTTTTTTAATATTAGAATGAATTTTACTTATTAAAGGAATTATTAAAATATAATATTATATCGTAAATCAAAATAAAAATGTTAATAACATTGTTATTATAATAATTTCATTATACAATTAAATAATATGTTTATATAATGTATATGTATATTACCAATAATTTAAATCCATCATATACAAAATACTAATTATTGATTACCATCTTCTTAAATTTTCCGCTTTGTCATCTTTGTGTTCTTCATAGAAATAATTATCACAATAGTAAAGCCACATTATTATTGCAAGAAATAAATCAACGGGCAATAGAAACTAACGATTCCGCTTGCATCATATGACTTTAAATTATACAATCCAACATATTGATTATTGAGATTATTGAGAAAAAATTTTTCTAATATAGCTAAAAAATATAATTAATATTAATAGAAATACATGCAAAACAGAACTTAATTGAATAATATTAACAATCAGCTTGACTGAATCTCTCATTACATGGATTTTAAATTGCGTTTTACATATTTTTCCTCAGATTTTTCAGCCAGTTATAAAACTATATTATCCGTTTGAAATATACAAAAAATAAAGTTACATAATACTGTTCATTTCGTATCTTAAATTATAAATTTCCAGCGAATACTATCAATTAGGAAAAACTAAGCCAATTAGAAAATGCCAAGAAGCGATGCAACACGTCAATTAACAATATATTTGCTATTTATGTAATTTTAATTAAAAAATTGATATTTATTTTAAAAACAGAAAAGCAAGATTATAAAATATAATGTGAATAATTTATAATTAATATTTATTCTATAAAAAATGCAATTCTATAAATTTATTTCTTACTTTTATGAGTTCTCGTCAATCAATGACATATCTTGATTAGTGCACACAAGCATGTTCGAAAGCATAGTAAAGCATTATCATTCCTATGCATACTTTAATAATATCATCGCCCATACTGCAATGTCTAATTTTGAAACTGCTTTTGACACTAAGAATTAATAAATTAATAATTACAAAATACCCTAAATTTTTTACATTGTATCTATGCGATTACTTTAATATCTAGGTTTTTTTTGTTTTTCGATTTACAACTTTTTTCATACGTAAGCGTAATGCGTATATAAATAAAAATTCAGATATTTTTACATCAACATAATTGTAATTAAATTGTCCGTCAGTTAAATAAAACTAAATCAACCGTTAAATTGAATTAATATTTTCAACGACATAGTACGAAAACGCTTCATCAAACCTTTGCAAAATACATTTATTGTGCAAAATGTAAACTAACAAAAGCAATTAATAAATGCTACATAGATAAAATATTATGAGAATACAACAGTCAAACGATAATGAAAATTAGTAACTCGGCATCACTTCTAACGTAATACAAAGCGTACAACTGACAGGATCGACGTTTATTTCCATTCGTGCGTTACTTATTTATTACTTTATTACTGCTGTTAACCAGAAAAACCGTATAAAAGAGAAAGTTGAAAACGCGTTATTAAAATAACGTGCAATCCATAAGCATGTTAATAAAAAACGCTGTTTTGCTAGTCTGCTTATCCATATTGACTTCTTAACTGGTAAAATACAGCCAAAATTTCTCTAGTCGCGCTGTATTCTAACGAGAGAAAAATTTAAAAATTCACGAAAAAAAGGAAAAAATTACATTACGGGATTAGCGTAACTCCAGTTCTTGGAATTATTCAGAGAAATGTCACTACCACATGATTATCCGGGTAGACGGAGATTTCAGAAAGAAAAAGACATATTATTCTATCATATTTCTTTTACTTATTATTTACTTTGTAAAAATAACCACTTCCTTTTTATAATAAAATATTACGGTTAAGATAATGAAAAACTCAAAATTTGCAGGTTGTTCTAAAAAAGATGATATATAATTTGAGATTTAAAATATACGTAAAAGATCTAATAAAAAATATTTTCATTTATGCTGTTATTTTTAATAAAAATTTTGTTTTCTACGCTTATTATATAAAAATCGAATAAAGTAAACACAAATAAAGTAAAATTGATAAGAAAATTAAAATTATTGTAAGCGTAAATTTTTTTATTCATATCATGTTTATTCATATCGTGTTTAGTGTAAATTTGCAAGATTTAAATTTATGTTTGTATTCAAAACAGATTTTCGATTTATTATTATGCATATCACTTTCTCATATCACATAAAATATTTTGAAATTTTGAGAGTTTATGTAGACTATGTTATGAGAGTTTATGTAGACTATGTAGATTTATATTAAAGTGGAAAACATCGATCATATATCTGTGACCGCATTCACAACTGAATCATAAGATATCAAAAATATCAAAGTTATCGAAAATCCTTTAAACAACCTAACCATACGCTGTGGCGGACTCTCGGATTTTATATAATCAACATCATCTCTGACATGTCGATAAACAAGCTGCATTCAAATTGCAATGCGAAGAAACATGATACATCGCTTGTCACCTCATCTCAGAGATTTATAAACGTATGTCGTTACACCGAGGTTACGTTCTGATTTACGAAAGACATTTTAAAAATAAGTAATGTCGAAAAATGGAAAGATAAATTATCCCGGTAATAACAACGATCGGGAGGACATCCAATGGTTTGAAAATTATGAGAAGCATAGCAAGATCAAACATCCTGAGAAGCTAAAAAACGAAGATATATTGAATTACATTAAGGATGTCGTGCAAAATTGTCGCCTCGAGGTGAGCAGCGGCGATGAGGATTATGCCGGTACAAAAAAGTCCAGCAACTGCAGCGTAAGGTATTTAGATGCACGATTTAGATCATCTAAAAAAATCAAATCTAGAGTAACGTCAAGAAAAAATAAAAATATCACTTTGAAAAGTAAGCCGAAACGTTCTTCCAATCGTAATGCCACGGATACTTGCAATTATTATTATCCTATGCGAAAATTTCATTTCCGCAACAATTCTAATCTTATTTTTCAAAACAATTCTAGGACAGACTTAAATAATTTCACTAAATCAACTTATCCAAATTTATCAAAAAATCAAAATTCCTATAAGTATCGAGAATCTTCACCGACATTCTATAGTTGGTATTCCAAAAAAGATCAAAATGATAAAATGAAGCCGTCAGTTACAAAAATGCTCAATTTTGAAGTCACCAGAGACTGGCTTCGAAACGATATTCGCGATTCCAGAATTAACAGATCAAAAATTACTAACAAAAAATCTACAAACACATTTAAATCACGCAGAAAAAGAATTGATGATTCAACTTATATGGATATATATTCAAATATTATACCTAACGAGAAGACAATAGAAAGAGATTCTCGTTATTGTATCTACAAACAGGGAGAAGAAGCACAAATGAGGATATTAAATGAACAAAGTAGCGCTAACTTTGAAAATCAACAGCCACTTAATAAAATTTATTCCGACCAAGATACAACGCTTTCTTATCAAGTTCCTTTGCAAAACAAAGATTACAAACGACATTATACTTCTGGGTATCATTATTTTATGAGGAGATCCAGACAACCGACTTTTTCACAATCCAACAGGTTGACGGCATCAGCGAGATTGCCTGAAACAAGCTCGTTACAAGGGCGAAGTTCGCAGTGGGAAAATGAAATAGGATCTCCGTTGAAAGCGTCTAGCTCCATTATGGAAACATCAATCGATAGAAGTTATCACACGAAGCGCAAGAATAACATGGATCAACGACGACGAAGACCGGACATTTTAGGAGAACGAGGGTCGTCGTGTTGTCGTAGGCCCAGCCTCTTAAGGAAGTCCGAGAAACTCTGCAAAGTGGCATCTACTTACGAAGATAAGCAATGGCTCGGCTGTTCTTGCGAAGACACCGAGCAAGACGAAACGGCGGACTGTTCGAGATATTGTCGTTGTCCAGAAAACGTGAACGATTCTACTCGATGTAGCTATCGGCTGCCATATCAAGATACATATCGACCGATTACAATGAGCAAACAAATTAATTACACAGCATCACTCCGTAAAATATTGCCCGAGTCAACACAATTACGAGTTAACGATGAGGAGGAATCTGAAATCAATGTATCGATGGAAGAAGACTGGCAGGCTGAGAGCACTAGGTATAATCAACCATTCGACAAATTTGATGTCTTTGATGACAGAAAGGATAACTATGATATATACTATAATGATGAAATGGAAGATTTTAACTCGCATGTATTATTTTCGGATGATCAAGCGCCTCAAACGTGCCGGAGTTCGAACAAAGTAGAATATAAGAAAGAATATAAGAAATTGAGCAACCATTTAAAGAGTAACCAGGGAAAAGTAACGGATACACGGACGACGTTGCGAAAAAAAACTATCACAAGGTATCCTGCGGATAAGGAATTTTCTTTCGCGATAAGAACTAAAAAACCCGTGTCGGGGGATTCCTCGAGATTAAGATACGACGCAGCGGAATCTACGTGCGAATGTAAGGAGCCCTTCCACGATTCTCCAGCATGTTCAATCGGTTCTTGCACTTGCGTCGGAAATAGCAAAAATACGAAAAAAAATAACAGCGATCCATCGCGAAAGATATCTAATACAGATTATTGCTGCGACGACTGCTGTTGCTCCTTGTCATTTACTTTTCACGACGAGAAGGATCCGGTGAAGAAACTCGAGTCCTTCTGCGAGAAAGTAAAGGCAGTAAATCGGGATACGTTCCACAAGCCATCGAGAGTTATTTCACAATCCAACGCAATGAGAACCAATGCGCAGGAATATTCTCAAGGCGACGAGCAGAATCAATCCGAACTCGACATCCAAAGGACCATCCGAAGCGCAAGATCCATCGAGACAGATCGGTTAGCGAATGGTAGTCGCCTGAGGCTTGAAAAGCCAAGGCATAGCGAAGCAAGCTTGGAGAAGATTCTTATTTATC